CTGATGAAGATCCTGAAGGACATTGAGCACAGTACAGAGGTGATGCTGGACCGCTGGCACATAGACGTCATTCCCAGTGACAGGGAGGCCAACGGAGATCCTGTCCCATCCACCATCATCAACAACTACTTCTCCATTGGAGTGGTGAGTTTCACGGGGCAGGGATGGGTCTCTCCCTGCTCCTCCTTGCTCACATTCCCATCCTCCCTTTATCTCCCAGCCTTGTTTTTCTGGTTTTATTGTCGTTTGTAATGGTAGCACTTAGATACATAAGCAGGCGTGGGATCTCTCTCTTCCCAGCGGGAATGTTTCAAGAGCAAGTGTGCAAGGAGCCTAAACAGGTTTCAGGGAAGTTTGAGGTCTCAGGAACAAGGACACCCCACCTGCCAAGACAACACCCATATCAGCAAAGCCCTGCTTTGGTGCTCAGACCCATGTTCCCTCTTGTTTTCCTGATCTTGGGGATTAGGCAGCCTGGGCTGGATGGCAGCCCCATGCCGTGGGGGATTCCTCTAGCTCTGGTGGTCAATCCTGGGAGCAGGAGGGCTTTGGGGAAAGCATTTTTCATCCTGGAGCCCAAGGGTGCCACCACGGCGTGGGTCACCCACCTGCAGCGCTGCAGGATGCTTCTGGGTTAACTCCTGCGCATGCCAGGGGGTGTCACTGCAGGTGGCAATTGGTGACAGTTTCAGAGTTGGGCTTAAACACCTCCACCATGCATAAGGAGAGGTTCTGGTGAGTTTCAAGAGAGCTGCCACCCTGCCAGGGGAGCTGTCAGGGTGCAGGGTCCCAGGGTATCCCCAAAGTTGCACTGCCCTGCTGGTAGCCCTTCCTGCCCCCTCAGCATCTCCTCCATGGGGAGCCCTGTGATGAGGGAAGGAGGCCAAGTGTGCTGATTATATCTCACTTAACAAGCTTTGGGAAGAGATTGGCTGAGAGTCTCCATCACCTCGGTAAGGCGCCCACGATGTGTCCTTGTGCCATGGGGGCCAGTAGCAAGCATGAAGAGCTGAGTCCCATATCCTGGCACATGCTGAGAGGGCACAAAGGGAGAGCTCTATCTTTCTGCTGTGCCACTGATGTCCCTGCACTCCTTTCCCTGCAGGATGCCTCCATCGCCCACCGCTTCCACATCATGCGGGAAAAGCACCCTGAGAAATTCAACAGCAGGTAAGGGCTTCCCCCAAAATCTGGGGCTGGGGGTCACCGTGCTGCTGCCATGCCCCATGCCAAGGGGGCTTGGCATTCAGTCAACCTTAGAGACAGGCAGGGGATGCACCAGGCATGGTGTGTGGCCAGGGCCAGGCATGGTGGGGGCTTGGGGTGCTCTTCCATGCCCCACGTGGCGTGGCAGGCTGCTTGAGCTTGGCCACACACCCAGTTACGTTCATTCATGCTTTATAATGTGCATGGAATTCCAGAACGGGCAGGAGCAGGCCAGGCAGCAAGGGCAGGGCAGGCAGCAGGTTGCAGCTCGCTCCCACTCTGCCTGGGGCGTGTGGAAATGGGGTGATGGCAGCAGGAGATGTGGCCTGTGATCCCCATCCCCAGGTTCAGCATAGCTGCCAAAAAATCCTGAATGGACCCAAGCATCCAGCCCTGAAATTCTTCTCCCATAAGCAAACAGCCTCCCATCAAAGCCTGGCACAGCAGTTGGGGTGGGGGGTGAACCGTGGCCGGGGGTGGCTGGCAAGGTCCACGAGGGTGCTGTGGTGTGAGACATCCCCTCCATGGGGCTCCCTGTCCCAGGAGCCCTGTCGAGATCCTCCAGCCTGTCCTGTGCTGAGGGAGCAGCCAGCGTCCCCATCTCCCCCTCTGCAGGGTGTCCAGGTCAGGTCTGCCTGAGCTGCCCTGTCCCATCACACAGCTCCCTGGGGCTGCGACGCTGGTGGTCTCACCACCACGGCTCG